GGACAGTCAATTATCTGTTGTTTATATTCGAATCCATTATCAGAAGGAACATTATTCAAACTATGAGCAGCATAACTTCGATCTGACATCGAATTATCATGCAGAATGCGCGAAGCCACTAGACATCAGAAAGCATTCTCATATATAAGAAAAAACTCAATAAATCCAATAAACAACTTCGTTATAGATTTCTTGTGGACACATCATATCGAAGGATTATATCTAATTTATAAGATATATTATAGACATACGTAAAATTCTGTATTGATTTTATTTTTAGCAAATCGTTTTTTACGTATTCATTGTAAAATGGTTGGTCTTAAAAGTGATTTTATAATCATTGATCCTGATGATCAATTATCAATAGTTAAACGAATTCTTAAAGAAGAAGTTAAAGAAACAAATTTTTATACTGATAAACCGAAAGCTATTATAAATTTTATAAATAAATGTAAAGATGAAGGTAAACGTTCAACGGATATAATGATTAATCATGAAAATCGTTTTAAACAATTAATCTATTCAAAATATGAAACATACATTCAACAAGAAAATAAACTTGATTTTGCTGAATTAATTCTTTTAACAAAAGGTTCTATTATTTAAAAATAATATTTATTTTTGAATAACAGAAAATATTTCTTCTATATAGAATTACTTGAAAAAGAAATTGATTTGCAAGTACATTATTCAAAAAAATTTCGTTTTATACTTATTGATGAATTTCAAGATACATCAACATTACAAATGGATTGGTTAAAATTAATGATTGATAGAGATCATCAGAATAAAACTGTACAAAATTGCTTTATGGCTGTGGTTAGTTAAAATTAAAATAGATGTATAGATTAATTTAATGTTTTTTTCTAGGGTGATGATGATCAAAGTATATATGCATTTCGTGGTGCTCAATGTGTTAATAATATAGATGAATATTTAAAAGCACTTTATTTAAGTCGAGAAAATCCAGAACATATTATTAAATTAGAACAAAACTATCGTAAGTTAATTAATTATACCAAAACAACAAAACGAAAATTAATAAAATTTTTTGTTATTTAGGAAGTACAAATGTTGTGCTAGAAGCAGCAAATTCAGTTATTGATCATAATCAATCTCGTCTGTAAGTAAATATGATACAGCCAATCGATATCTTACATCCCGTTTTCATTCATTCATATCTTGTTTGATAGAGTACATTAAGTGTGTAGGTGTGAGTATATCTATCTTCTGTTAAACCACACCCACCCTCACCCACACCCACCCACACCCACACCCACACCCACACCCTCACCTACCCTCACCCAACCTCATCCACCCTCACCTACCCTCACCCAACCTCACTCACCCTCACCCATACCCATACCCATTACGGTAGTAAATAATCTTTAAAAGATTTCTGTTTCCTGCTGATTCTTTGACCTATTCCTAGATATTCATTAAAATCTTACTCATAGATAAGTCTAATGAATACTCTGATAGTTTAAGTTAAGCAAATTTTTCTTTTCCAACATATGAATGAATGATAATAGAATCATTATTTTAGTGGTAAAAATCTTTGGACAGATATAAAAAATGGTGAACAAATTGGTTTATATCAAGCAACTGATACAAGTGATGAAGCTGAACATGTTGTAGAATTAATTAAAAATTTTATTAAACTTCATCCAAATATTCCTTTATCTCAAATAGCTATTCTTTATCGAACAAATGCTCAATGTAAATAATTTCTTATCATTTATATAGTTCTATTTTATTTTTTTGTAAATAATAGCACGTGAATTTGAACAAGCATTAATGAATAGTGGAATAAAATATCGTATTTATGGTGGAATTAAATTTTATCAACGATCAGAAATTAAAAGTGCATTAGCATATTTACGTTTAATTCAAAATGAGAATGATAACGATGCATTTCGTCGTATTATAAATTTTCCAGCACGTGCAATTGGTAAGGCAACATTAGAAAAAATTGAAGCAGGTGCAAAACAAAATCAATGTTCATTATTTACATATATTCAAACCGATTCAAATTTTTCGAAACAAAAAAAAATTTATGATTTTATTCAATTAATAATTAATTGTAAAAAAACTATTGAAGAAACAAATCCACCTATGGAATTATATGAACAAGCTTTGTATATATTTGAACAATCAGGTTTAATGAATTCATATAAAAATAAAGAAGAAGTTGAACGTTTACAAAATATAAGTGAATTATGTAATGCTATGAAACAATTTTCACATTTATATCATACAAATGATTTAACTCAATATTTAAGTGTTATTGCACTAGTATGAAAAAACTAATTATTGATAAGAATATTTCATTTTTCTCAATAGGATACAACAAATACTCAAGATGGAAAATTAGATACATCGGATGAAATAGAAAGAATTCAAATGATGACAGTACATGGTGCAAAAGGATTAGAATTTCATTATGTATTTATTGCTGGACTTGGTAGAGTTATTTCTTTTTTAATTCTGACTAATAGATAATAAGAATATTGATCGTGACTTTTTTTCGCAAAAGTATAAAGTTAACAATGCTTTTTCCATCTGAAATTTCCATCGCCTCTATTCGTGATGAACAGTAAGGTGCGAAAGTCTTTGTCCTCAGTATTTCACATGGTTTTCAGAATGAAAGTGATGAATAAAAAGACATGGCACAAAGTGCAAAATTATTACAACTAATAATTGATCCTCTTTCCATTCGTGTTAATCAAAGCTAAACATTCTACTTTCATCGACTTCAACAGATTATTTAGGATGCGCAGAAATCTTTGTAGATCGCTGAAAAATGATGGTTCCTGCTTCGTCGTTCAAGTTCGCTATTCGAAATCATTGTCTTGCACTTTATTGAGATGACGTCTTTTTTCTAACGGAATAATATTTGCACCTGTGATCTATAAATTTTATACATAGATCAAATGGATACGAATCAAATTTCTTAGCTTTTCATTTTTATATATTTGCAATCATTTTTGTTTATAATTTTTTAGTTCAAGATCTTTTTCCATCAAATTTTTTTGGAAATTGTGATATTGAAGAAGAACGTAAATCTAAATTTAATGTTGAATTATCTATTGGTAAAATTTTGTTTTTCTATTATAAAGGTCGTCTGATGTATGTTGCAATAACTCGAGCAAAACGATATTTACATATGTCATATTCAGAAATACGTTCAAATTATGGTCAACAAGAAAGATGTAAACGATCACAATTTATATCAGAAATTCCTCCTAAACTTGTGCATGTTCATAATGAAAATGATGAAATATATCAACCACCAAAAAAACGAATGAATGTTGTTCAAACAATCAAATTACCAAGCCAAATTGGATTTCTTACTGGAAAAAATTTATTAAACGTTGCTCAATGGAATAAGAAAAAATAATTTTTTTGTATATTAAATATTTGAAAAGTGCACATTTTTTTCTTCGCTATGAATTTATTTTACAACTGAAAATAAACAAATGAAATTACTATCAACTCAATTTTCAATAGAAACATAAATCCTCAAAAGTCTTCTAAAACAAATAAGTTAGTAATAAACATGTCATATGTCAAAACTCATCATAATTAAATGTACTACTAATAAGATAAAAATTTAAGCTAGATTATAATGTTTTTTAATCAAAATATATTGAACGTATTCTGCTAGTGTGTGTATCTTAAAGCAAGGGGCGCATTAGAAAAACCCAGGTTTTCTAATCTGTCGTAGCGTTTACAAGTTTCAAGGGGAATCTTCTAATGTGTTCCCGACCTTACTAAAAGAGCAGAAAAATCAATCATTAGAGGGGGTCTCCTAGTACATTTTTTGCGTCATTTACTCAAGGTGGGGGTCTTCTAATGTGTACCCG